AACACAGCCCCCTACAGAGGATGACCTGGCCCCCATACCAGCAGTGCTGTAGGGGAGAGACCCTCACAACTCCCCAGTCCCATTCTGAAAATGGCAATACTGAGGCGGCAGAGAAGGAAAAATGTCTGTTGGGTGCTGAGGTATGAGCTGGAGCCTGTGCTAGAAGGTGGGGCAGCCTCATAGAGGCAGAAGATGCAAATAGGGGTGGATCTGGGATGTATCAGAGGTGGAGCTGATGGCACCTGGAGACCTGGTGACTGGTTGGCTGGGTGTGTGAGAGGACTTTCAATGATACCAACCTGTGTGAGAGAAGGGAGGAGCAGGGACCACTACTGTTGCCCAGGGTGAGGTTGGGATGCTGCGGGGCCTGCCGGGAGAGGTCAGGGACGTGACTAGGTCCTGAGGCTGGAGCTCAGGGGAGATGTGGTAGCTGAGACACAAAATTAAGAGTCATTAGTGAGACTGGCCAGTTAGCTCAGCTGGTTAGAGCATCGTCCTGATATACCCAGGTTGCGGGTTCGAGCCCTGGTTAGGGCACATACAAAAATCAACCAATGAACACATAAATAAGTGGAACAACAAATAAAAGTTTCTCTCTCTTTCTAAAAGGAAGAGAAAAAAAGAGTCATCAGTGAATGGTGGTGTTCAGTCATGGGAGGGCAGGAGGAGAGGCCCCAGGTGGGTGGCAGGTCTCTGGGGAGGGTGGGGTTGTGGAGGGCCCTAAACAGCCCTGCATAAGCAGGACTGGAATCCAGACCCCGATCCTGATCAGGAGCTGGGAGTCCTGGCCTTCTACCCCACTGTAAGACCCAGCCCTCCAGGGAGAGGAAACAGAGAGGGACCCAGAGAGGGTCCCTTGCTTGCTTGGGGTGCCCAGCCCTTTAACATCCGAGAGGAGCAGAACCTGAGGGGCACTCAGGCATCTTGGCTGCAGTCCCCATGCAGTGCTCCACCTGAGACTATCCTCCCACGTGCTCTCCCACTTCCAGGCCAGCCAGTGTCTGGGAAAGTGAGGGAATGGGCGTCCTTCAGGCAGAATCGAGTCCCCACTGTTCTCTCTGCAAGAACGAGGCATTCCCCCAAGGTGGGGGGAACAGAACCTTAGGGGGAAGCATCAGAAGCTCTAGTCCAGCTGCAAGTCCCCTCCCTGGGCCCCCAACCTCCCATAGAGGAGATGACAGGGCCTTGCCTGAGGGAGAGGCTAGAGTTGACAAACTGGGTCACAGCTTGAGTGGCCCCCCGCCTGGCCCGTGAACCAGCTGTCCTCTCAACCTGGGAGTAATTATAGAGCTGGAGCTCCAACTCCCCAAGGGTTCTCGTTTCTTTTGACAGGCCAGGTCCAGAGAGGGTGTGCTTTTCATCAGAGGTCACGCAGCCCGTTAGAACTGAGGTCTCCCGCCAGCCTCTCTGTGGCTGGGTAACAGTAGCTGTGCCCTAGCTGTCCCGACCTGTCATCACTCGAGTACTTCCTTCCTGAGTTTGTCCTTAGCCACATTCTCTGGCAACTGTATTTTAAAAATTATTTCCAACTTAACATGTTTGAAAAGTTCATCTTCATCTGTCTGACCGCAGCACCCGCCCCCCGCCTCCACACCCGAACTGCACGGCCGCCCTCGCGGCGTTGTCCTCTGCTGTGCCCTCCACGGGCTGCCCTTCCCCTGCCATCTGCTTGGCTCCCGTCCTCCGCTGAGTCTTTGCACGAACATCCCTTTCTCAGTAAATTAGATCATTGCAATCCCTCGACACCAGCCGTGGCCCTTTTCCTGGATTTCTTTTTCGCCACTCATGCACTCAAGGCAGGAGAGGCTATGTTATCCCCGTCAGCTCCCGGAAGGCTGACCTCTCTGTCCCCCGTGCTCTGTGGCTCCAGCACCTGGAAAATGCTCGGCACTTGGTACCTGTTTGTTGACTGATGAACTGAACGGACACATGAGGGGCGCCAGCGTTACAGTATCTCTGGAGGTGATGATAAAAATGGGTCCAGCAGCCCTGGCGAGTGTGGCTCAGCGATTAAGTGTCAGCCTGCGCGCTGAAGGGTTGCGGGTTAGATTCCCGGTCAAGGGCACGTACCTGGGTTGTGGGTTTGCTCCCTGGTCCTGGTCGGGGTGCGTGTGGGAGGCAACCAATTGATATGTCTCTCTCACATCAATGTTTTTCTCTCGCTCTCCCTCCCTGCCTCTCTCCCTCCCTTCCACTCTGCCTAAAAATCAATGGAAAAAGTATCCTCAGGTTAACAACAACAAAATTTGGTCCAGCAAAAACAGAACTGCGTTTTAAAGTCTAGCTTGATGAGTTGCTAGGACTCTGTCCTGGCTCTGTAAAAAAAATAAAATAAAATAAAAATTAGCAAGTGTTACCACTGACTTAGCCCTGAGACTTCCCCCTGCCACCTCTGATGGGCTGTGTGAACCTGAGCTGATGACTTAAGTTGCTTTGAGTTTCAGCATTCCCATCAGTAAAGTGGGGGTGACAGCAGCCCCCCATGAGGTTGTTGTGGGAATTAAAGGGTACAATACAAGTGGAGCCCTTAGCCTAAGGCACAGAGCAAGAATATAGAAGTGTTCGCCATATGGTGATGATGATGCATTAAACGAGGGTTTAAATGGCATTTCAAGAAGACCAAGGTGGTGATGTTAGTACAGAGAATAGCCAGTGACACTGGGGGTGAGACCCAAATAAAGGCAAGGAGAGAACCATGCAGGGAAGGTGTTCCAGGTATTTGGCACAGCATGTGCAAAGGTCCTGAGGCAGGAAGGTGCCTGGTATGTTGGAGGAACAGTGAGAAGGCCCATTTAGCTGGAGCAGGATCAGTAAGGGGGAAAGAGGAAGGAGGTGAAGGCAGAAAGGAGATTCGGGGCAGGTTGTGCAGGACCTGTGGGCCCTGGGGAGGACTTCAAATTTTATTCCAGGGGTGTGAAATTCTCTCCTGCAGAAAGAATATACCAGGCAGCTCTGCCCCACATGGAGTTTGTACTGGGGGGACTGAAAAATATCAGCCATTTACTCCTTGAGACAGAGCCAGAGATGTATGGATTCTTCCAGAGAGGCTACTGAGGTCCTGTCCCCCATTGCTGGGCAAGGGAGCAGTTCCGCTTGACCACAGAGAGCAGGTGCAACAGGGGAGTGGGAGTGACCTCAGAGCCAGGGACAAGTTTGAGGTAGGAAGTTGCTAGAGGCATGAGATGGGCGACTGAAAAGGGAACCATCCGTTCTGGCTCTTGTCCCCACCTGGGACACAGCCTCACCATGTGCTGTCCAGGGCAACAACATGGGAGAGAATGATCTAGAAAAACAGCCTCAGAAGGGAGGTTTGCCTTGCTGAAGGTGTATGTTCCTTGCAATGCCCAGGTTAGGATTAGGACAATTGCAGTGAGAGACCAGCTCCTTTCCCTCAGCCTCCCTACTGTGTTCCCCAGCCAGGGACTAAGACCTATGACCTCCTGTAGACCAGGGTTCCCTCGATTTCCTCGTGGTGTGACCACATTCTCAGCTACAGAAGCTCTCTTCCCACCCCTTCACTCCAGTCTCTGCCTCCATCTTCACGTGGCTTTATTCCCTCTCTGTGTATCTATACATGTGTCCAAATTCCCCTCTTGCTATAAGGACAACAGCCATTCCATTAGGGCCACCATACTCCAGTATAACCACATCTCAACTAATCACATCTGCAAAGACCCTACTTCCAAATGAGGCCACATTTGTAGGTACTGGGGTCAGTACTTGAACATATCTTTTGGGGGGGGAGACCCAATTCTGCCCACTACAGAGTCCTAGCTCACATGTCACCTTTCTGGGTCTGAAGGTGCCCCTTCATCCACCCTGGTCACCATGATTACCCATCCATGCTGCTTCCCTTCGCAGCCTCTATCAGTGCATCCTCTGGTCTCATTACCTGTGAGTTTAGTTTTTTTTCTTAATAAATTTTGTTTTAATGGGTCTCAAAGTTCTGTGACAGATTTTTGGTCAAGCCGTTTCCATTAAAAAAGTACTGAGTGTATTAAACGTATTGATGTTCATCAAGCAGGTGCCATGTCTCAGGCAAACTTTTGGCTCTGATTAAGACACCCTAGAGAGTTTACAACCTAGTTGGAGGAGAAACAACATAAAGGGTTTTAAGATACACTATAATTTCACATGATGATTGGACTTGTGCAGACAGGTAACAGGGAAGACAAAAAACTCTGGTAAAAAACTCTGGGGGAGAAGGGAACATGTAGACCACCTATATCCCACCCGACCGATGTGAGCCGCCAGAGGGCAGGATCTGCATTTGCTCTGTTCTGCAGTGTGTTCAGAGCCTGCCATACACCAGGCACTCAATAACTGGCAGGGGGAGGAGGGGTTGGTGCCAAAATGTTTATATTTGCATGATTCTTCTCCAGTTCAGTAAGTGCTTTCTTTTGTAATTTCTTAAATGGAGAAAAATTCACAAAACATGAAACTCACCCATTTAAGGTGCAGAATTCAGTAGTTTCAGTATATTTACAAGATTGTGCAACCACTGTCAAATTCCAGAACATTCCATCACCCCAAAAGAAATTCCCCATCCTCCTTCCCAGCCACTCACAACCAAAAATCCACTTTCTGTCTCTGGATTTGCCTGTTCTGGACATTTCACATAGATGGACTCACACTCTGGTGGCCTTTGTGTCTGGCTGCTCTCACTGAGCATCGTGTTTCCAAGGTTCATCCATGCTGCAGTGAGTGTCAGTGCGTCCCTCCTTCTCATGGCTGAGTGATATTCCAGTGTGTGGATGGCCCACATTGTCTGTATCCATTCTCCATATTTGGATACTTGGGTTGTTGACACTTTCTGACTAACAGAATGCTGCTGCTGTAAACATGGGTGTATAGGTTTTTGTGAGGTCGTGTGCTCAGTCCTCTTAAATAGATACCCAGGAGTGGGATTGCGGGTCCCATGGTGGATAAACGCCACTTGTGGGTATACCGGGGCGGGGCGGGGAGTCAGGACTACGGTGCTAATACTGCCCCCGCCCCCAGGTGCCCACGAGGATGGTGGCGGGGCCCTAAGCCGAGGCTCCCTAGGCCACGCACCATGACCTGCTGGCTGTGCGTCCTGAGCCTGCAGCTCCTGCTCCTGCCTGCGGCTCCGCCCCCGGCGGGGGGCTGCCCCGCTCGCTGCGAGTGCACGGCGCAGACGCGCACGGTGGCCTGTCCCCGGCGCCGGCTGACCGCCGTGCCTGACGGCATCCCGGCCGAGACGCGCTTGCTGGAGCTCAGCCGCAACCGCATCCGCTGCCTGAACCCAGGCGACCTGGCTGCCCTGCCGCTGCTGGAGGAGCTGGACCTGAGCGAGAACGTGATCGCACACGTGGAGCCCGGCGCCTTCGCCAACCTGCCGCGCCTGCGCGTCCTGCGCCTGCGCGGCAACCTGCTCAAGCTCATCCCTCCGGGGGTCTTCACGCGCCTGGACAACCTCACGCTGCTGGACCTGAGCGAGAACAAGCTGGTCATTCTCCTGGACTACACATTCCAGGACCTGCGCAGCCTCCGCCAGCTGGAGGTGGGCGACAATGACCTGGTGTTCATCTCGCGCCGGGCCTTCGCCGGGCTGTTGGCCCTTGAGGAGCTGACCCTGGAGCGCTGCAACCTCACAGCGCTGTCGGGCGAGTCGCTGGGCCACCTGCGGGGCCTGGGCGCCCTGCGGCTGCGCCACCTGGCCATCGCTGCCCTGGAGGACCAGAACTTCCGTAGGCTCCCGGGCCTGCTGCACCTGGAGATTGACAACTGGCCGCTGCTGGAGGAGGTGGCCCCCGGCAGCCTGCAGGGCCTCAACCTCACCTCGTTGTCAGTCACCCACACCAACATCACTGCTGTGCCAGCCGCCGCGCTGCGCCACCAGACCCACCTCACCTGCCTCAACCTGTCGCACAACCCCATCAGCACGGTGCCGCGTGGGTCTTTCCGAGACCTGATCCGCCTGCGTGAGCTGCACCTGGCCGGGGCCCTGTTGGCCGTGGTCGAGCCACAGGCCTTCCTGGGGCTGCGTCAGATCCGCCTGCTCAACCTCTCCAACAACCTGCTGTCCACGTTGGAGGAGAGCACCTTCCACTCCGTCAACACGCTGGAGACGCTGCGCGTGGATGGGAACCCGCTAGCCTGTGACTGTCGCCTGCTGTGGATCGTGCAGCGCCGCAAGACGCTCAACTTCGACGGGCGGCTGCCGGTCTGCGCCACCCCCGCCGAGGTTCGTGGGGACGCTCTGCGCAACCTGCCGGACTCCGCGCTCTTCGAGTACTTCGTGTGCCGCAAGCCCAAGATTCGAGAGCGAAGGCTGCAGCAGGTCACCGCCGCCGCGGGGGAGGACGTGCGCTTCCAGTGCCGTGCGGAGGGCGAGCCAGCGCCCACCGTGGCTTGGGTGACACCCCAGCACCGCGCAGTGACCAGCACCAGCCCCGGCCGGGCGCGCGTGCTGCCCGGGGGCACGCTGGAGATTCGGGACTCTCGGCCGCAAGACAGCGGCACCTACACCTGCGTGGCCAGCAACGCGGGCGGCAACGACACCTACTTCGCCACGCTGACAGTGCGGCCCGAGCCCGCTGCCAACCGGACCCTGGGCGAGGGCCGCAATGAGACCCTGGCGGCTGCGCGCTTCCCACTGGACCTCACCACCATCCTGGTGTCCACGGCCATGGGCTGCATCACCTTCCTGGGCGTCGTCCTCTTCTGCTTCCTGCTGCTGTTCGTGTGGAGCCGGGGCCGTGGGCAGCACAAGAACAACTTCTCCGTGGAGTATTCCTTTCGCAAGGTGGATGGTCCAGCCGCCGGTGCGGGCCAGGGAAGCTCCCGCAAGTTCAACATGAAGATGATCTGAAGGGCCCTGGGGGCAACCTCCAGCTGCCCTGCCGGGGCTGTGGGCTCTAGGCCGAGCCAGGAGATTCCATTCTCTGTCCCCACCAGCCTGTCGCTGGCCTGTCCAATGACACCTATGCATTTTCCAGAGTGGCTGCAAGCTGACTCCTGGCAGAACTTCCATTTTTTTGTAGAGACCCAACCACAGGAGTTTTTTCATCAGGATGTGTCTTTTGCAGTTTCTCAAGCATTTTCTAAAGGTTTCCCCTGTCTTCCTGGCCCTGAGTGGTCACTGAGCTGCTTTTGGGGGGGTGGCTCGGAGACCTAGGGTCCTCACCCCTAACACTTCACACCCAGAGGCACACAGTTGCTGCCCCCGTGGTCCCCTGACAGCTCATACTTGAGGGAGATGGTCTACACTCAGGATGCTTGGAGGGAGCACAAAAGCCTATACTGTTCACACCTGGACACCCCACACTTCACACCCAGCACATATATTCACACCCAGGACACAATCAGACACACAGTTCTAAAATGGAACACACACCTGGCACTCAGCTGACACTAAGCAGGTGCCCCAGGTTCCAGAGCTCACCATGGGCACACAGCTCACACGTGGGACAAGCAGCCCACATTTGGAACACACCCAGCTAACACTTGAGTCACAAATAGCTCACACCTGGGACACACCCAGCTCCTGCTCAGCTGGCCAACTCTGGGGGTATCTTGGGGGCTGGGCTAAGGTCTTGTTAAGCTGGTCAGTCTCACCTTGAGGGTGCCCAGCACTCTAGGTGACGCCCGACATGCTGGCCCCACCCTCACTTCCAGTGTCCTTCCACCAGGACCCACTGGCCCAGCAGGGCAGGCTGCCACTAGAGAAGCCATTTCCCCAGGTTCCTCCACCACCCTCAGAGCTGCCACTTGGTTATCCAGCCCACACCATGCTTCCTGGCCCAGGAGCATGGCTTCTGGGGCGTCCTCCAGCAAGCGAGATGTAGTGACCTTCAATCCTGAGTCTACACTACCCCTGAGCCAGTCCTGTGTCCCATTGCTCACCTGGGGAATGAAACCAGAGAGTGTGAGGGGCTCTCAGGCTCCCTGTTATGTGCATTGCAGGGCAGCAATGGGGAGAAGGCCTGGACAGGGATTCAGGCTACAGGGAGGTCTGGACCTGGTTTGTTGAGAGAAGGTGACAGAGGCACCTTTGTCTCTGCAACTCTAGGTCCAAAGAGTAGAGAGTCATAGGTAGACTGTAGCTCAGGTTAAGAAAGGGTTTCCCCAAGGTCACTGCCCCATTGCTCTTCAGAAAGTGAGTTCCCCATCATTGAGGATAAGCAAGCAGGAGCTGAGGTACTACAGAAGTATTCAGACGCCAGACAGAGACCATTCATGACCCTGCCTCCCCCAGCCTGGTTCTTGCCCCCACTCTCTACCTCGACCAGACAACCATTAGGGCATCATTGTAGAGAAGGGGCACAGGAAGCATTGTGGGGCCTAACCTCAGCCAGAAAGGAGCTTGGCCTCGAACCAGAAGGTTAGGACAGTGTTCTCAAGGACCTTATAGGAAGGCTGAAAGCCAGTGTGTTCCTGCCCACTGTGTAATCGTGGTCAGTGACTGAGGACCACCTGGACTATAGTGTCCTCGTCGGTAAAACCCATCACTATATATAGAGCCTGGGTCCATGGACAAGCTTGATGGTGGACTTGAATCCTGGATCCCTCAAAATATTCTGAGATGAGCCAGAGAGAAAGCCAGGTAAACCCTGGAGGTTTTGAGCAAAGGATTCAGACAGAACTCAGAATGGGACATTGGCTGTTCTCTCTGGGCTGCGGCTGGGAGTGTCAGAAGTTCCAGTCCTGCCCCCAAGATGTGCACACTGGCCAGCATGGTGGGGTAGTAGGCCACTGGCCACGGCCAGCCAGGTTGGGGGCTCCATCCCAACACCACTTGTGAGTGAGGGACAAAGGGGGTGTGCAGCAGCTTCACACCCCACCTGAGTTGGCCAGAACCAACTAGTTTTTTTCCCTTAGTACTCTCCTGACCTTGGTTGCCATGACAACCCTGAGAGCCTTTCAAAATGACATCCAAGTGCCTTTAGCATCATCAAGAAAGGAGGGGATATGTTCTTGGCAGTGTTAGGACTTACAGAACATCACACATAGTGGGACCTCTCAGCCCCCTCTGCCCGCTCCCCTATCCCAACAGGAACAAAGACAACCCACTCACCCCCCGCCTCCCACCCCATCCTGCTGTATTTGACTGGAATCCAATAAAAATGAAATCAGTTTAATAACAAACCTCAAGGCTTGTTTTTTAATTTTATTATTATTTTTATTATTTTAAATCCTTACCCAAGGATATTTTTTACATTTCGTTTCAGAGAGAGTGGAAAGGAGAGAGAGACACACACATCAATTGGTTGTCTCCTGCACGTGCCCCGACTGGGGCCAGGGATTGAGCCTGCAGCCGAGGTACATGCCCTTGGCTGGGACTCTCGGATCATGGGCTGATGCTCTCTCTAATCGCAAAGCAAACTGGCTAGGGCTTTTAAAAATTTTTTATGGGGGGGAGGAGAAAGTATAGATGAGGAATAAGGAGCTGCTGGGGTCCCCAGGGGGAGCTGCCTGGCTCCAGCCCCAAGGCTGACCCTGAGGCATGGGATGTTTGTGGAGAGAGAATGAAAGGTGAAAAGTCAGAGGTTGAACTTCAGTGCCCTTGCTGTTTCCAGTGCAGTTCCCCTGGATTAACTCCTTTCACACTGATGACGACGCTGTGAGATGGATCCTGATATGATCCCATTTTACAGATGGGCAAGGTGTCAAGAGGCTAGAGAGCATTTACCCAGAGTCTCCAGCTAGGGAGAAGCAGGTGCTGAGAGGGGCGGGTGGAACCTGGCTGTGAGGGAAACCCCTGCCCCAAGCTTTGTCTGGGGGCAGAGCCAGCAGTGGGGAAGAAAGGAGAAGTGAGGCACAGCCCACCCCCTCCCCACTGTGCCCGTGGAGCTGGTGGCTTCCTCACCTGGGGCTTGGGAGGGGGTTTCCTCTTCTGACAGAGGCCCATCAACTTTTCTGTCTCTGGGGGCTCTGGGAAAAGGCAGGCAGCTCTGAGTGCTGGGCGTAATACCAATAAGCGCTTCATTCGCACTCCGACCTCCACCTGAGAGATGGAGAAACAGGCACAGAGTCTGGAGTCAGGGCTCAAACCCTGCTCGCCTTTGAAAGGCTGTGCTGTTTCTGGAAGGAAGTGAACCAACTCAGAGTAGTCAACAGAAGCCACGGTCAAGAACAGCCTCTCACTTGCCATCCCAGTGTCACTCTCTGGGCCTCAGTTTCCCCATTTGAGCATGGGGAAACAGTTTCTTTTCTGCCCTGCAGGACACAGAAACAGAATGGGGACATGCCAGGTGCTTTGGGGTGACTCCTCTGTGCCTGATTTCAAAGAAGCCAAAAAGTGGGGGGCACAGGCCACATTTTCCCCATTCCTCCTGCAGCAAAGGCAAGCAAAACAATAGCCTCATGTGCCTCAGTTTCTCCATCTGCGGTGTCTACTGAGTCCCTGTTTCAAACCAGGCCCAAGGTTCAGGGTTTTCTGAATCCTGTCTTATTCCTGAGGTGGGGTGAGGGGAAGAAAGTCAGATGATTCAATTTTTTTACTTTTGAGAAGAGAGATTTCAATTATTCAGTGTTTTCAGTGATAGATACAGAAGTACAGGCCAGGGCCTCTTCCCACAGAGTTTACCGTGTGAATGGAGAACAAGACAGACACCACTTGACACCCTGCTGACCGGTCACGTGGATACACGTGTTTCCGTGTCCGAACGCTGCCAGCCGGTCACGAGATAACTCGTGCCTGCATTTACATTAATTTAAGTAATTTTAAACACCTTGCTGACCAGTCATGACGGAAAAGTAGCTGGCTGCAAGGGTGAGTCCTGGCTCAAAATGGCCAGTCAGCAAGGTTTAACAAAGGCAAATAATTCCGGGAGATAAATATATGTGCTTTTGCAAAATACAAGTTCTCATACAAATGTATAACTAAATACTGACTCCATGGTGTTTCAGTTATATCTCAAAGGGCCGTGGGGTGCCCAAGTGTGAAATAAATACCATTACTGGATAAAAACTAGTGGTCCATCTAGCTAAACAGCATTTCCAGAGGCATCAAAAGAAGTGGTGGGAAGAGCAGAGGGACATACTCTTTAATTTATAAATGTACCCAGCCCGGCCGGAGTGGCTCAGCTGATTGAACATTGTCCTGTGCACTGAAAGGTTGCTGGTTCGATTCCCGGTCAGACCACATGCCGGGGTTGCAGGTTCAGTCCCTGGAAGGCAACTGATCGATGTTTCTCTCTCACGTCAATGCCTCTTCCTCTCTTTCCCTTCCTCTCTCTAAGCATGCCCTCTGGTGAGGATTTTAAAAACTTGTAAATGTATCCAAAGTTTGAAAACACCATGGGGAATCTTAGGAATCCCAGCAGTGAGTGAATTGGCTTCTAAATATCCATTACACCTACAAGCTTTGTACACATCCACTCCGACTGCTTATCTAAGTGGGGTATACAAGAAATTAATGTCCCCTTATGCTGACTTCTTCTTTCTTAGCCTTTTTTTAAATACCATCAATCATCTCTGTCAAAAGATAAATATAAGTAGTTGTGAAGTGTTAAACTCTGACAGCAAAGCAAAATTAGAGTTCCAGGCAAATGTTTAACCAAACATGTTTAAACACAAGCTAGTGAATGAAGAACTTTAAGTTCAAAGAGCCAAATATTCTTCATTTCTGAGAAATCTCAATTACTTTCTCATTCTGGTGAGCATTTCCACATTGCACTTGGCTGCCACAAACTAAGTGGGTATACAGTTTTTGTGTTGATCTATCACTAAAAGACTTGCACTAGAAGACTGAAAGAAAACATTTTGTATCTATGTATATTTTTAAAAATCGGTCCATGAAGAAGGAGCCAGGTGTAAGTTTCCTATGGGGAATATGTCCTCATGGAGGTACTATAAGGCCAAGTTGGTCCACTTCATTCTTGTTCTTTACAGTCTATGTTTCCACCTTTGTTCCATTCGGGTTCAGAAAGCTTATTCAGTACAGTGGTCCCTCAGTTTTCGAATGTCATCCGTTCCAGAAGACCGAGTTCTGAAACGTCCGAAAACCAAGGGATCAACAGTCGACAGCCGGGCCTCAGGGTCTTGCCCTCAGCAGAAGCCGTGTGGCATGTTCGACTTCCGAGGCGTGTTCGAAAACTGAAGCACTTACTGCCGGGTTTACGGCGTTCCTAAACAGAAATGTTCGGCAACAGAGACGTTCGAAAACCGAGGCACCGCTAGAGTATTGCAACATCCTCTTAAGGCAGCTTATCTTCTTGATAAGGATTGTCAATTGAGATCCTTCCATCTCTCTGTACCTCACTGTTTATCCTCCTGAAGCTGTGATCTTGTCAAATCGGCACCCAGCCCAGAGGTGTGTCCGCTACTGCCAGAGCCGAGATGATTCAAAATTTGTTATCCCCACCCGAGGACATGTTTATTAATTTTAGAGAGAGAGGAAAGGGAAGACAGAGAGAAAAAACACACACGTTGATGTGAGAAAGGTTGATCAGTTGCCTCCCGTGCATGCCCCGACCAGGGATCAAACCAGAAACCTAGGTATGTGCCCTGACCAGGAAACCGATCCACAACTTTTTGGTGCACAGGACGATGCTCCAACTAACTGAGCCACCCAGCCAGGGCCAGGCTCAATTTTTTAAAGAAAAATCTAGCTAGTGTGGCTGTTAGGAGAGTGGGAGACACTTTTTTGTTGTTGAACAGAGTGGTGGGAATTTACCGAAGGTCACACAGCAAGTCAGAACAGAGCTGGGCTCCAGTGGAGCAGCACCTGCCCAAAGCACAATCCTGGTCCTGGGATGGGGGGGCGGTGGAGGCCTACGCACTGGGGGTTTCTCAGATGGTCCTACAGAAGGGGAAGTCGTTCTCCAGGAAATGACAGCCGCAGAAGAAAGAGCCCTGGTTGGGTTTCTCCCTAAACAATCTTTGCTAGGGTTCCCTGCCCTCCCCAAAGATGAGGGACCTGAAAGATCTCACTCCCCCTAATCTCCTTGGGCTACCCACTGCTGTCCATCTGCAGTGACCTTTGGGACCTCAACCTGTCTTCCACCTGCCCTAACCCTGCTCTCAGCCCTGGGTCCCACCTCCTGGTCTTTATGCAAGCTGTTTCTTCTGCCTGAAATGCTATTCCTACCTTTGAGGGAGTGTGTGGCTAGTCCTGGGAAGTGATGCAGAAAGGCTCCTCACCTTGCCAGGCCTTTGATCTGTTTCCCATTCCCTGCCTGTGACAGGTCAGACGGTCCTGGGAGGCCAGGGGTTGCAGCTATTAGGAGTTTGTCCTCAAGGCCCTCTGCCCCGAGGTCACTCCTGTCCTGAAGGTAGGAGGCTCCTGGAGGGGTGCTGGGGCAGGGAAAGGGCAGACGCAGAAACTTTTCCAGGTTGAGGTGATCTGGAATCTGGGTGGGGCAGGGCTGGGGGTGGGGCAATCTGCTGTTGGCTT